AAAAAAAAAAAAAAGCAACCACATCTGTTTGCAATCAATTAAAAGCCATAGGTCTTTCTACCAAAATTTCAGTTAAGTCAGGACTCTCCCATCCTCATTCACACCCAAGAAATCCATCCACCCACAAGTTTTCAGCTCTGACTTTTATGCTGATAACCTTCAGAAATTACTCTCTAATCCTGATTCCTTGATACCACATGTTTGGGACTAATTATGCTTTGAGTTACAGTTTCCCTGTACATATGTTTGCTTCCTCTCCTAGACTATATGCTTCTTGAAAGGTAGGTATCATATCCTAATATTTTATTGTCTAATATTTAGTCCAGTCCATTATATATAGTGAGTTTGTGAAACAGAACTCAGTTTCATAATGTTTTGACTGCTAGCAGTATGTTAGCAAAATTTTCTCATTTGTCCCTTAAAATGTGTCTGTAAAATACCCATTCAGAATTATAACTTATTACTCAGTAGTTTTAGTTTTCTCATCTTATGATTTAGTGGAAAGCAAGATTTGATTTATTAAAATAAGTTTTACATACAATTTTTAAAGAATATACCTGAGATACTCCTGTTTTTCATTGGCCGAAAGGGGATTTTTCCTCAACCTACCAAATGTCATTTCAAATACAAACTGGTCTTACAATTTTAATTGATTATATTATTGTATCTAGTTGCACTCTCTCAAGTAGACTAAAAATTATTGCCATAGTTAAGACTTACAATTAAAGCAATGTTGAAAAACTGAAAAATATTTGCATTCCATAACCAATTCACAATGTTAACTCTATAAAGTTGATTTACTTTAATACATTTACTAACTTAAATATGGTATCTTGAAACTTAACATATGGTAAAACATAGAACAATTTGGGTCTCTTTGTTATTGCGTTCTTCAGGGGAGAGCTAACTATCTATGATTCTCTCTAATGGTAGTTATAGAGCTTTCTGAAAGGTTAAGGAAAAAAACTATAGATACTATCCCAGTATTATCAGATAAAAATAAAGATATTTCGGGCCAGCCGAGTGGCTCAGTTGGTTAAGAGCTCACTCAAGAGTGTGAGCTCTGAGCAACAGTGGTTTGATTCCCAGCCCAAGCTGAGCAGCTGCTGAGCTGCCAACACATGGCAGGATGGCTCAGCTGAAAAAAAAAAAAAGATATTTCTATTTTGAAAGTGATTATAGTTGACATAAGGTGTAGGCTTCTATTTACATAAAAGTAAAAAAAAAATGATTAATTCCATTACTGCTGTAACAAAAGCTCTTACTTTACTGAAACAATTTTCAATTTAAAAATACATACTTGTTTAGTGTCTGCATCAATTAGATCAAAGAATGCTCGAACTGTAGCCAACTGCAATTGTTTACACCTAAAAAACAGAATAAGTGTCACAAATGAAATCCTTAAAAATATATACTTTTTAAGACACAGGGTAGCTGAATGGATAAGAAAACAAGACCCTTAGATATGTTGCCTACAAGAGACTCACTTCAAATCGAAAGACACACACAGACTGAAAGTTAAGGAATGGAAAAAGACATTTCATGAAAATGGAAATAAACAAAACAGCTGGGGTAGACTTTTGGTCCTTGCACGCAGGGCAACTGGATTGTGAAAAAAGGAGAACTTGCCATTTCCTCTGCGCCTTTCACAAGCCTCCCAACAGCGCTGTGTTGGGTCAGAGTATACGGAGGTTCAGAGCCTCTGTGATCCATTGGAGCCACTATGAGGAGGACCCAGGGAAGCATTTGACATTTTCAGTGGGAAACAAGCAATGGTTGCTAGTTATAATGACTCTGTACTTTGGATCTGGGATTTGCCTCACCTTTCTTTGTAGTAAGACACCAACTGTTTAAGAAATAAGGATGCTTTACTTAATCCATGAAACAGATATGATGAGGAGCATTTTAAGAGGTGCAGTCACTTTGAAAAATGGGTCAAACTGTTAACTCAACATATTAAGTATGTTTGTAAATAAACTTATGGCATGAATCCTTAACAAAAAGCTGGGGTAGCAGTACTTATACCAGACAAAACAGACTTTAAAACAAAGGTTACAAAAAGAGAAAAGAGAAGGACCCAGTAATCCCACTTCTGGTTATTTATACAAAGAAACACAAAACACTACTTTGAAGGGACATATTCATCCATATGTTGGCGGCATCATTATTTACAATAGCCAAGATATGGAGGCAACCTGGGTGTCCATCAATAGGTGAATGAATAAAGAAGAGGTTGTACATCGTATACAATGAAATATTACTCAGCCATAAAAAGGAATGAAATTTTTCCATCTGTGACAACATGAATGGACCTAGAGGGTGCTGTGCTGAGTGGAGAAAGTCAGACAGAGAAAGACAAATGCCATATGATTCATTTATATGTGGGATCTAAAAAGCAAAACAAACAAACAAAACATAAATAAACTCATAGATACAGAGAACATTTTGATGATTGCCAGATGGGAAGAGGGTTGGGGAAACGGGTGAAAAAAGGGAAGGAATTAAGAAGTACAAATTGGTAGCTAAAAAACAGTCATGGGGATGTAAAGTACAGCATAACAAATATAGTCAATAATATTATAACTGTGGTGTCATATGGATACTGGATTTATTGGGATCACTGCGTGAGTTGTATGGATGTCTAATCATTGTGTTGTACACCTGAAACTAGTATAATATTTTATGTCAACTATGATCAAAAAATAAAATATTTTTAAAAAGCTATTTTAAAAAACAATATGCTATAGCGACCATAAAAATATATACTTTTGATACAGACATGTATAGTTCTATTATTTAATCACATACTTAAGTTTCCTTTAATGCTGTAAACTCTAAAATTATTTAACAAATCATTATTATTAAGCATATATGTTAAAGTTGAAACATAAAAATAAAGCAAATTAAATATTCTTGGGTGTTCGACAGTAAACTGCCAGGGTCCCTATATCTTTCCTAAACCTCCTCATCTGCCCCAGCTACAGACATACTGTCTGCCCACCTTTCGATGCCTGAAGTGTTGTGCTTCTTGCAGACACTATTGATTGCACAGCCAGAGGAAGTAAAAAAAAAGAATCTTTAAGCCAAAACACATAGTGGTAAGATACTAGGGTCTATGTATTTCTTGACCCATATTTAATCTATTTATTTATATTAAGGTTAAATCTAATTCCTATTTGGTTTTCCATGTGCTTCTCCAGAATAAAAAGTCCCTGAGTTTGGTGACTGGCTGAGAGCTCAGAAAGTCCTACAAATATCTTTGATTCTGCCCAACTATGACAAACTCTAAAATTTTGATATTGGACAGCAGCTTCATTTGAGACTGATGCTACTGGTTCTTCAGGATATGATTCTATAAGTTGTCAAGGGAACCTTGGTCACACTGAGACAAGAACCAAGGTTACAGTCCTAAGCCCCTAAATTAATCTGTCCTCCAAATCCTTATTTATTTATAGCTAAAATTCTCAGGAAGCTAACAAACCAATCAATACACTCATGAGAAAAGAGGACCACCACAAATCACCAAAATAAGTTATATTAACTCACCACACAATGGAGAGGTGGTCTGTTGAGACCCAGGTCTTAGGCACTGCTGAAGTCTAAAGGGAAAGAAAAAAAAAAATCAAACTCAAGAAAAGCACATTTGTTATTCTCCAAAAGGCTTGAAATTCTTACAAGCTAATATTTAGAACTGTGTAGCATTAATGTCACTATTTTATGATGCATAGACATTTTTAGATGATGCATTCTTATAAAAAGTGGTCCAAAATATTAAGATATTTCCTGCATAAAATAACATAATTCTCTTTGTCACACATAATTCTGCTTAGTCACACTTAAATTACCCTTTAAAAATTATTAAAGCACTCACAGAACCTTTACTGAAGTTTAATGTCTAACTCTTTATTACTGTAATAAGAGGGTGAGTTTATGACTCTTTAATAAATCATAGCTTATGTACAAATTACAATAGATATTTTAGTAATTTTAGTTCTGATTAGACTACCACTTGATAAATTCTAAGATGTTACTTCTTAATCAGGGTGTGCGTGAGAAATACCCAAGCCTGGGGCGAGTTTCCAAAAGAAGTGTGCTTGACCACAATACCAAATCAGACTCTTATAAGTGGGGTCCAGGCTTATTTATTTTGGAAAAAAAAAATCACTAGATGACTGGAATATATACTACTGGTTAGAGACACAAGGGCAAAGGCTCCTAAAAAATATAACTATTTGCAGAAGGCTTCCTAACAATGATATAGCACTCATTAATCCAGCCTGTAAAGTAGGAGGAATCTTTAGCTTACTTGTTGAATTTATAAACATTAGATCATCTTATTTAGGAATTACTACTGGCAGCTTACTTAAAAAATTGAGACAATCAGCATTCACTGTGGTTCTAAGATTACATTAGATGCTCAGTAGAGTAAGAACTCAAAGTAGAGAACACTTACCATTAAAGAACATAAAATGGGTTTACTTTCATTCAGGCTAATGAATGCATCAGGGCTAGAGTTGAAAAGCGAAAGGCAATGCAAATAATAAAGGTAGTTGCTCAAGGTTATTGGTGAAAACTGCTGACTGTCCATCAAAACCCATTCTTCCCTTCATGCACGCTTGGCTAGATTACATCTCTTAGCCTCTCTCACTGTAACGTGTGACTAATTTTTCTCTAATAGTATGTGAGCAGGAGTGATGTGTGCCATTTCCAGACCTCAATGCTCTTCTTCCCCCTGCCTGTGGATTGAAATAGGGATGATTAGAGCAACCTCAGGAGTAGAGCATTCAAGCAAGGAGTGCCTGCTGTCAACCTGGGTCCCTTAATGGGAATCCTTCAAAATAACCACCCACCAACTTAAACACCCACCTAGGGCAGTTATATGAGTAAAATGTAAACTTCTATTGTGTTTAAGTGTCATTACCTGCATGAATGAATATTAGCTTACCCTACTAACAGAGCTGTGCTCTCTAACTTAAACTATTTTTCTAGCACCAATGGATGGAAATGTTATTAAATGTACTTGAGATAATCATTAAAAATTTGTTACTTTTTAATAAATGAACATACTTCAAAACATGAAAGACCCTAGACTATTTAGCACTAAAAAAGTAAACAAAACTAAGATTATACAATAGCCAGATTTGAGAAAATTCTTTAAGAAGTAAAATATTTTCATCAGAGATACAGAAATACAAGCTGCCTTGAAACTGATACATTATCAAATGGATTAAAAAAGAGGGACGTGTACACATACACATGCGTGCGCGCGCGCACGCGCACACACACACACACACACACACACACACACACGATTAAAAAGACCAGAATTATTTTAAAAATAAGGCGCAATGCCATTAAAGCATTGGTACCTCCATATCCTCCAAACTAAGTCCAGGAAATAAGTTATATCCATTTTATATGACTAAAAGATTTGCATTTACAAGAGTTGACATTTAGTGTTTTGAGGACTTCAGCAAACATGTGCCCCAAATATTCAACATCAAATAACAAGATTCATACCAATAATGAGGTTTTAGAGATTTATCCATTTTGTTCCAAAGCTGTTAAGGCTAAACCGCAAGTTCTCCAGTTATAAGAAAATGGTGGGTAATAGCAGAATAGCTTAATAATTTTTGTTCTATGTATGGTAAGCATTCAGTAAATACCTGCTTAATGAATGAATAGCAATCTAAGGTGGGGCAATAGATGAGCTAAGCAAAACATTATTTATGAAGAGAACAACTATGAAACAAAGCACTATCTCCTAAAAAGCAAAAGGAACTCTATGGATTTTATTTAGAAATTAAATTAAGTTATATTTGAAGATGATGTATATACTGAGTTAAAAAGTTAAGATTTTAACTGAAGAATTAATTCAAGGTTAAAAATATAAGAAATAATGTAAGTCCTAAAAGGAAACAAACTCACTTTACAGAGGCTATGTATCCCAGTTAAAGACCAAATATATGATATCCTGGCAGGGAAGATAATTAGCAAATTAATCAATCAGGCTTCTGTTTATACTATCAAAGCTATTTTTTTTTATTTTAAAATTGGTAAAACTTTACTCAAGTTTATCCATCCAGAGTATGTGACATGTTTGATAGTCTGTAAATAGACTAGTACTGTATACAGCATACCACTCATACAAGAGGCCCTTGGACTCCAGTCCATACTTTCTTAAACTTAGAATTTTAATCAGTGGATAGGCACTTATTTTGAACAATAATTATTTCTCATAAATAAGAATTATTTTCACAAAGTTTCTAAGATCCTCTTTACTTTCTATGGACGTAAGTCTCCATGCCTCTGCCTTCCCAACATATTCATCTTCATTCATTCACATTTTCTCTGTCTGTCTCTCTAGCTCACACACATGCACACACATACATACGAGCACACACAGCAGTACTACACCAACTCAGCCATCATTTCCAAGCAGCTACATATCACGTCTCCTTTCATGCCCCACTGTTTCCATCACGTTACTATTTCAGTAGAATCTTAAAAAAGATTACCACAACAGATAAGGCACTGGTATGGTGGCTTAATTTTGGCAGAAAAGTCAGTCCTGAGCGAACTTGGTAATCCCGGAATCCTCCAGCAACAGAAAGTGTGGTTAAATTTATCTGTCTAGCATTTAGAATCCAATAGTTGTTTACAGTCATATAAAAATCTGGTAGAAAATAAAAAAAGACACACATTAAAAATCAGTAGTCATTCCCTGCAACAATAAGATATTCATAAGATTAATAATAAACTGAATTTCTGTTTAAGCCATCCGAATTTTCTAAATATAAACAATGTTATTCACATATCTCTATTGGAGACAATATCTTTACATACATTCTGCTTTTGCCATTAAATCAGAATATAAATATACTAAGATTACTAAGGTATCAATAATGAAAAGAGACACCTAAATTTTATTGGCTTTGACAAGTCCATATGCAAACAGGTCTCTATATTCCACAAGGATGCTATTTGTTCATGAGCCACACAATATAGCAAGAAGAAAAAAACCCTAAAATTCTTCCAAAGATAAGAGTTTACTATGCTAAAGAGTGGTAGAGCTTCCTAATTAGGCAGTGTCCCTGCTTATGAGGGCTGAGCAGTTCTCTCCTGCGGTCAACCACCACCACACAAAATACTATTTAAGTTCTTAAAATAAAATATATCAGGACAATGACATTTACATTAGTCTTGGGACTACGCAGCTGTGGAAAATCTGAGGGTTAAGGTTCTACCCCCTTTAGTGTAACAAGTAGTTCAAAGGGAAGAACTTGCAGACAATTTTTCTACTATATCTATGGAGAGTGAGACAATGAGTGTCAAAGAGTTGAGGCCAGGGAAGGAAGCTTCTCATTTCCTTTTCTGATGAACAAAACTTAAAGCATTTTTAGCCTGGTATTTGATCTGAGGGCTTCAAACATTTTAGAACAGCACACTCCTCCCATTAAAGATCTTGGCCGTATTTACCTAGGCCATGACCAAGCAGCCCCATTGCTAACATCTGCAGGGCCTGGGACGAGAGGACCAATGCAGCACACATGCCATAGGCCTAAATACATAATTAAAAGTCAAAATTCCAGCTAACAAACTGTTAAATAAAATATATTTTCTCAGCCTACCTTGACAAATGAATCATCAAAATAACCTGAAGGCCAAGTTCAAATGGAGAATTCTAGGACTCCTCAGCGTTGAACACTGGATTACGGCAGCACAGAGTGAGCAGATCTCTGGTCCAGCCCACTGCTATGCTATCCTCCTTCTCTTCCCACCCCAATTCCATCCTGCATCACAAGGGCCTCAGTGCACATCCAAGCTCTGTCTGTACCACATGCAGGCCACTCCTTGGCCACAACTCAAGCTTAGGGTTGTACATATCTGCCCTCAGGACAGATCCATGTGGGAGGATCTCATGGGCCCTGGAAGTGGGCTTGGGGCATATGCGCAACTTGGTTCCCTGCAACATGATCTAGAAGTAAAGGCACAGCCTCCAGTGGGGAGGCTGCTCGGCCTGTACATGTCACACTCTGGGAGGGAAAGGCAGCCCCAGAGCAGTCCAGTGCAAGGTTTCCTTTCCCCTAGGTAAGGGCAGGATTTCCACCAATTATAAATGCAGAATCTATTTTTGGAGATCATAGAGGTCTCCTAAAAACCTAAAATCTACCAACCCTTGAACTTTTGTTTTTTTGTTCTAATTCTGGTTTAATGCAATAAAAAATAAATACAGACTAAATGGGAGAAAGGCTTCCTAATTACAGTAAAAACACCTTGACCCTCAGAATCACTTTCAGCCTCAGCCTTTCAGAGATAGACCATAGGATCCTTCAAAACAATAAAACCTCTCTTATAAGTTTCCCTCAAAACTTTTTTTAAAATGTATTTCGGAGTCATTTCAATTTAACCTACAAGGTTTACCTACATATGTTATACAAAATGCAGTAAGAGAAAGAGTTCTCAGTTATGGTGACAAGTATTATGACTTGTCTATGCCTTTGTTTTTTTCTTAAACTTATAGGTCATTTATAATTACTAGAATTAATAAAACAGATTTTGATAACTTCAATAAAACTAAAAATTTTTATTAAAATATTTCTACAAGAAAAGTTTTAAATGTAATAAGAGAAAAATCAAACTTTACCGTAAGTATCTACAGTACCAGATAGTCCAGCGAATAAGTTACACCTTGGCAATGTTATGTTAAATTGGGTGTTTGGAAAACTACTTTGATTTGGAGTCACCAGGGCATACTTCTCATTTAACTATAAACAAAATTTTCATCACAATTAAGATAATGCAAATTTTGATAGGATAAGGAGTTTTGTAAACTTACTGATCAGGAAAAAGAACTATTTTTTTATTTGTTCTTCTATTCACATAATATTCCAATAAGCAATGAAAATAATATTTGACTTTAATAAAAAGTTGAAGTAGGCATTTAATTCTTATTTTGTGACATCATCACTATTTGATTAGATGATGGCAATCATAAATTCCTATTGTTCATTCAAAATTCCCTACAATAGCACAGTATTAGCCATACTTTTATTTCCTCTATAATAGTAATGTACCTCAAGTAAGAGGCAGAATAGCATGCAACGGTAAAAAGCACAGGCCAGGAACAAGTTTGCCCCAGGGCCAAATACTGGCACCACTATTTTCTTTTTTCTTTTTTTAGTTGAGCCATCCTGTCACCTGTTAGCAGTTCAGCGGCAGCTCTGCTTGGGCCAGGACTCGAACCGCTGTTGCTCAGAGCTCACACTCTTGAGCGAGCTCTTAATCAACTGAGCCACTTAGCCAGCCCTTGGCACCACTATTTTCTTGCCACATGACTTTGGGAAAAAACTTTATCTTGGCCTCTTTTTCTTCTACCCATAAACATGGGAATAACAATGGTATCTGCTTCAAATGTAAAGTTCTTAACACAATACTCGAAATGTATTAAGAGTTCAATAAACATCAGCAATTCTGCCTCACTATATAAAGTGTTAACAGACTTATTTATTTAAAAACAAGACATTTCTACCATTTTACTTAAAAATAAGCTTATTTTGAATCGAGTACTGGAAGGTTAACAAAACATAGGGAGTTTAAACACACTTTAGGAGATAGGGAGTCATCCTCAAGAATAAACTGAAGCCCAAGTGCCTAGGGATTATAAGACACATGTCGCCGTCCATGTTAAGATGCTATAGACAGAGAAAACTAATAGCAGTTTCCATCATGAGCCTAAGTTGAAAGTCACAGAGAGATACTCAGAACCAGAGGTGCTGATTTGAAGCTGAGCTGCTTCACACATGGATGAATCTGCAGAACGCTCTAAAGGCAGCAGCTGGAGGATGTGTTTAATTCTAGACCACAATGGGAAGGTCAGTTAGTGTGTATGTAACAGTACTCACCAGTAATGAAACGATCTAATGGCATCACAGGAGCAACATGCGGGGTGGCTTGTGTAATAAGAAGGTTTATCACATCTTGCTTAAAATTTTTCAGTGTAAGCAATGCCCTTGCAACAAGGCCACCCATAGAATGACCAATTATAGCCACACTTTTTGGAGCAAACTCTTGACCCTATTAAAAATAAATCACCAAGACATAATTAACATTTAGGGTCACAGTAAAAATACTAAATACTTCGAAATATGAGCAATTTTACAGAAAAAAAATTAAATTATTTATATAACCTCTTATCATAGGATAGAGAAATACATTTTCATATACTTGTAATTAGTGTATACATACTATTTTGGGTTCTGTCAAACATTTTTGACAGCTATGTTTTGGTTTTCTGAATCAAAATCCAAAAACTTGGGTCCAGCAAATCATGTTTTACCATTTGTTATATTGAATGTAAGAGATGTAATTATATTTTGTGTGTTCAGAGTATTAGATTTTATAGGACATAAGAAGTCAGGTCATTTATTTAATCGGAAATACCACAAAAAAGTAAAAAAAATTTTATGGCTGCCATAGCAATATACTACCTCATGTTAATATATCTTAGCTCATCAAATTATTTTCCTATTGTGCACCCAAGTTTAAAAATAAACCAGATTCCATACATTTATTCACTGACAATTACATAATTTATTTTTTAAATAAGTATTGCATTTTAAAAAATCTTTTGTCTCCACATAGTATTCTCAGTTCCGCTATCAATTTTTTGCTCATCCCCCTCCATATTGATCCTTCATCTCTGCCTTCTCTCCTGTTACTATGAATTCACTGGACCTTGTGCAGAAATGTTACCACAGTAGGCCTGAAACTACTGTCATTAGAACAGACTGCACATAAGATTGGCTCTGGTCTGCATTCTGGGACCTTAGATTCTGGGAGGGTTCCCATGATCCCCTAAATGATAAGAATGGCTCACTGTGTCGAAACTGCAAAGAATAAGCTTTATGCTGAACACCTGCTGTCCCTCTGGTCGGGGTTTTGGTACCTGCTAGGCACAGGGTCTCCATGTAACCAGCCCCCAATAAAAACCTTGGCCATTGAGTCTATGATGAGCTGCTCTTATAGCCAACACTTTACACATGTCACAATTTGTTGCTGTAGAAATTAAATGCAGCTGGTGTGACTCCCCTGCAAGAGGACTTCTGGAAGCTTGTACCTGCGTTTCCTCTGGATTTCATCCCATGCACCTTTTCTTTTTGCCGATTTTGCTTTGTATCCTTTCACTGTAATAAATCATAACATGAGTACAACTAGGTGCTGAGTCCTGTGAGTCGTCCTGGAGAATCACAGAGCCTGGGGATGGTCTTGGTGGTCCCCAACACAGAACTGATCTTAGCAAAAGCCAAAGACTGCATATGTGCTCTGAAAGCTATCCCCTTTGGCCTTCCCAAGTACATCATTCCAGCAATTCTTTTCACTCTCGCATCATTGTTTCTCCCTCTCTAGTAGACCATTCTCACTAGTATATAAATATACTGTAATTCTTCCCTAAAAAATAAAGACAATTCCCTTTTTACTCCCACTTTCCCCTTAGTGACCACACCTTTCTCTACATCTCTTCACAACAAAACTCTTCAAAAACTTATCTATGCAGTACTTACTGTCTCCAATTTTTCAATTTCCACACACTCTCAAACCCATTCCAATCAGGCTTTCACCCCAACACGCCTCCAAAACTGCTCTTTTCAAGGCGCCAAGGAATCTAATGGCCAATCCTCAATCCTCATTTTACCTGACCTATCACAGCATATGATAGTTGATCACTTCCTCTTTGAAATGCTTTACGTGTGGTTCTCCTCTTAACTCACTGGCTGCTCCTTTTTAGTCTCTTGCTGGTTTCTTCTCATCTCCCCTTGTCTCTAAATAATGGAGTAATCCTTAGATCTCTTCTCTTGCATATCTTGACTCCATTAGTGATCTCATCTAGTCTCATAGCTTTAAATACTTCTATATGCTGTTAACCCTTGGGTCATTATCTCCAGACCCGACCTCCTCTCTTAAACTCTAAGTTTAAACTTCAATGGCATACTAGCCACACTTGGGATGCCTAGGGGGCATCTCAAACCGAACCTTCTAAATCTTCTCCAAATCTGTTCCTCCTATATTTTCTCCCACCTCAGTTAATGGCACATCAACCCTTATAGTTGTTTACCAAAAAATTGGGGTCACCCGTAACTCTTCTTTTTCTGTCACATTGCCCAACCATATCTGATCTGCCAGCAAACCTTGCCTCAACCTTTAAGATTTACACCAATCTGACCATTTCTTATCACCTCCAACGCTACCAACTTGACTTAAACTACTATTTCTTGCCTGAATCACTGAAATAGCCTCCTAACTGGTCTCTCTGCTTCACCATTACATCCCTTCAGTTTATCCTCAGAAGTACCCAGAGTGATACTGTTAAAATCTAAATGAGAACATGCCACTCCTTTGCTCAAAAATCTCTACAGTAGCTTTGCATATCATTTGAAATAAAAGGCAAAATTCTTAAAACTGCCTAGAAGGCTCTATAACCTGCCTTCTCCCCAACCTCTCCTTCTACTCACTCTATCTGCTCCAACCATTCCAGTCTCCTCGTTTTTCCTCAAATACAACACGCTTGCCTTATATACCGGGGGTACCAAAAAAATATAGACACATAACTTATATTCATCTTTTGTTATTAGTATATGAGTATTACAATTTTAATAGTTTTTTCCTTTCTTAAAAATGTGTATGCTTTTTGGGGGGCACCCTCTGTATTTATCGCCTCTGCTTAGAGTACTGTTTTCCTAGATAGGCAAATGAGCTACTCTCTCATGTCCTGAATTCGCATTAAATTGTCTGCTTCTCAACAGAGGTCTCTGCTGAGCACCCTTATTTATAATTGTAATCCTCTAGTCTCAACTCCCTAGCTCCCTTTCTGTTCTATTTTTCTTCCTGGCACTTATCACCATATAAGATATATCTATTATAGTATATAACATTAAACACATGATTGTTTATTGTGAATGACATTTATGGAAATCTCACTTTGTAATCATGTCTTAAATATATAAAATATACCATATAAAAGGTCCTGTACCTAATATGGCTTGTTTCCTGCTATAATACTCAGCGTAGATTTAAGTTAAAAAAAACAAACAAACAAAAATCTGCTTTAGAAATAACTTCAAAATGCTGGCTTATGCAAAGAATCATGATGTGTACATTTCATTTTCAAGATGCCAAGGAATACCACACTAGCTGGATTACAACCTCTGAGTTAAGTTTTGAAATTGGGTAGTACAAGTCCTCCAACTTTGCTTCTCTTTTTAAGACTGTTTGGCTTTTTAGGTTCCTTGCATTTTCATATAGACTTGTCAATTTTTACAAAACACCTGCTGGTATTGTGATTTATATTACATTAAATCTATTGGTCAATTTGGGGAGAACTTACATCTTAATTATGAGTCTTCAATCCATGAAATTGGTTTGTTCATTTATTTCATCAGATTTATTTAGTTTCTCTCAGCAAGGTTCAAAGTTTTCAGAGTGCCGATCGTGCACACTTTGCATTAAATTTATCCACATAATTGTATTTTTACATTACTGTAAATGCATTTTAAAATTTCACTTTCCATTTGTGAATTGATTTTTGAATACTGACAATTTATCCTGTAACCATACTAAATTCACTTATGAATTCTAATAACTTTCGGTAAATTCCTTTAAGTGTTTCTGTATATTTATGTCATCTGTGAATATAGACAGTTTAATTCATCCTTTTTAATTTTTAATTGTATTTCTTTTTCTGGCCTTATGCACTAGCTAGGACCTCTGTACAATGTTGAATAGAGGTGGTGGAAGCAGACAGAAGCTGAAAAAGAGAGAAAGAAAAAACTACCTATTATACAACATCAAAGACATTTGATTGTTTATTGTGAAGAACATTTATGGAAATGAATTTCACTCTGTGATCACATCTTATTTATCTTATCCAATAAATATCTTATCAAATACATAATGATTCCTCTCATATACATAATACAATGCATAATACAATTCCTTAGGGTGAGGAAGTTAGCTTCTATTCTTACTGTGCTGAGTTTTGTGTGTGTGTGTGTTTTTAAAATCATGAATGGGTGCTGAATGCAGTCAAATGAGTCTTTTATCTATTTTTATGATGAATTACATGGATTTATACTTGAAAACATTCTTGGGATAAATCCTACTTGATCATGACGTATTATACTTTAAAATATTGCTGGATTTGATAGCCTAATTCTCTGTTGAGGATTTTATACCTACATTCATGAGGGATACTAGGTCCCTATTTTCTTTTCAAACAACGTCATTGTCTGATTTTGATAGTCAGGGTTTGTTGGTTTCTTAAAATGAACTGTTAAGTATTATCTCTTCCTCCATTTTCTAAAAGAGCCTGTGTAAGATGGGTATAATTGCTTCCTTAAATGTTTGATAGAATTCACCACTGAAGTCCTTCGGCACTAGATTTTTCTTAGCAGTAAACTTTTTCATTACAGATTCAAAAAATTTTAAACAGGGCGCTAGTCAGAGACTGTTTATTCTTGTGTCTGTTTTATAATTTATGTTTCAAGGGATCTGTGCATTTATCTGAGCTGCCAAATTTATTGGCATAAAGTTGTTCATAATATTCCTTTACTATCTTAGTATCTACAGGCTCTTTAGTGATGTCCCTTCCTTCATTCCTGATATTGTTAATTTGTGTACCTGTCCTTTTCTTTCTTAATCAGCCTAGCTATGGGTTTATCAGTTTTATAGATATTTTCAAAAAATAAGCTTATTGGTATAAATTTTTTTCTTTATTTTGCTTTCTATTTTATTGATTTCCATTTTCATCTTGCGTCCTTCCCTTTTTGTTTTAAAGCGGGTGTAGCTCAAAGTGGCCCAGGCGGGAATCGAGCTGGCAACCTTGCTGTTCAGAGAGCAAGCGCTGCCCAATGGAGCCACCGCGCTGCCTTTTATTGCTTCCTTACTTCTACTTAGTTTACTTCGTTCTTTCTTTAGGTTCTGAATTCGGATGGTTAGATTACTGCTTTTAAACCTTGTTCCTTTCTAATATAAGCTTTTAAGACTATTTCTTCTAACCACTATTTTAATCTTACAAATTCTGATGTGTTTTCATTTTATTTCAGTTCAAAACATTTTCAAATTAGACCTGTGATTTTCTGTTTGACCTCTGGGTTATCTAGAAGTAATTTCCAAAGATTTAAGTCTTTTCCAGATATCTTTTTGTTGTTGATTTCCATTTTAATTCTGCTATGTTCAGAAAATATACCCTGTATAATGTATAACTTCAATCCTTTGAAATGTATTGAGACTTGTTTTATGGCTTCACATATGGCATATCTTAGTTCCATGTTCATTTAAAGAGAACATATTGGGTTGTCGGAAAAGTCATGACACATTTTTGCAACAAAAAACAGAAAAAGTACGTCATGACTTTTCTGACAACCCAATAGTTTCTATAGTTTTTGGGTGTCGTGTTCTATAAATGTCAATAGGTTAAGCTGGTTAATCGTGTTCAAATCTTCCATATATTACTGATTTTATGCCCACTTACTTTATCAATTATTGAGAGGATTGTTGAAATCTCCAACTCTAATTGTGGATTTATCTACCTTTTCCTTTTAGTTCTGTTAGTTTCCGCTTTATGAATTTAGAATCTCCGTCATTAGGTGCATACTCACTTGGGATGATTTTCCCTTCATGATGAGCTGACTCATCATTATGAAATGTCCCTCTTTATCCCTGTAATATCCTTCACCATAGAATCTATTTAACTGATATTAAGATATATTTTCCTCCATTATTTTACTTTAAATCTATCAGGATCTTCATATTTCACTTTCGAGTAGCCAGATTAGTGTATAGTTGAGTGGGTCTTGCTTTTTTTATCCAGTCTGAACAGTTCTTCCTTTAAATTGGAGTGTTTAATCCATCTACAATTAATGTAATGTTGATATAGCTAAATTTAAATCTGTCAACTTGCCATTTGTTTTCTATTTTCCCATCTGTTTTTTGTTCCTTCTTCCTCAAGACCGAGTATTTCTCCTGTACTTGCTCTTTAGCTGTATCTCCTTTTTTGTTGTTAATCTAAAAATTATAATATGCAACCATAACTTATCAGTCTGTCATGAATTAATATTATACCACTACTTACTGCAGTCGATTAATTCTATTTACCCTCTTCTCATTCTTTTCACATTATATTCTCCTTCTAAATAAGTTATAAACCTCATAACGCATTTTTGTTGTAAACTATTTTTAACCTTTTTATTTTTAACTAATTAGAAAAGTTGTGAAAATAGCAGAGTTCCCATAAAACTCTCTCCCAGGTTCCCCTAATGTCAACATTTTATATAACCATAGTATAAATACCAAAATCAGGAAATTAACATGGCTGCAATAGTATTAACTAAACAGCAGACCTAATTTAAATTCTACCACTTTTTCCACTCATGTACTTTTTCTATTTCAGGATTACATGAGGCATTCTACCTTGCATTTACTGTTATATTTCCTTGGTCTCCTTTAAACTGTGATAGTTCTTCAGTCTTTCCTTATTTTTTATGACCTTAATACATTTGAATAGCACTGGTTAGTTATTGTTGTATATCCCTCAATTTGGGTTTGTCTGAAGGTTTCTCATTAGAATGAGGTTATGAATTTTTGGTAAGAATGCCACAGAAATTATATTGTGTCCTTCTCAGTGCACCATGTCGAGGGGGTTCATGATGTTGATCTGTCTTGTTACTGGTGATGTTAATTTTGCTGAAGATGATGTCTGCCAAGTTTCTCCACCATGAAGTTACTCTTTCTTTTTGTAGATAATAAAAGAAACTTTGAGACCATGTAAATATCCTTTTTCTCCTCAAACTTTCACCCACAAATTTTAGCATTCATGGGTAGGTCTTGTCTGTAAGGAATTACTGTGCTGTGCACCTACAAGTAATTTTTTATTTCTCTCTTTCCTTCTACTAATGACAAAACTACCAGTTTTTGTTACTCGGACAATGTCTTTATTTGCCTTCATTTTCAAAGGATATTTTTGTTGGATATGCAATTCTAGGTTGAAAGCCCCGCCCACTGTCCCCCTCACCTTCCTGGAACCTTTAAGATATTGGCTCTGTTGTTTTTGGCTTTCATTATTTCTGATGGAAACCAGTGGTATTTATTGTTTTCCCTGTAATTAAAGGGTCTTTTTTCTCTGGATGCCTTTAAGGTTTTCTCTTTACTTTGCTTTTCAACAATTTGACTATAATACATTTAGGTGTGATAATGTGTTTATCCAGCTTGACATTCATGGACCTTCTTGGATCTGTGGATTGAAAAATTTTAATCATAACTGGAAAAATAACTGGGAAAAATTAGTTCTTTGAATATTTTTTCCTCTCCTGTTTCTCTCTCTTCTTCTTCTGGGGTTCCAATTATATATATGTAAGACTGTTTAGTACTGTCCCATAGGTTCATGAGGCTCTGTTCTTTTCATCTTTTTATCCTCTGTGCTTCATTTTGGATAGTTTTTATTGTCCTGTCTTCAAATTCAATGATCTCTTCTTCCATAGTCTTCAGTCTGCTTCAAACCTATCTTCTGAATTTTTCATTTCTGATATGTATTGTTTCAGTTTTAAATTTTGGTGCTTTTTTTTATAGTTACCATCTCTCTGATGAGATTCCACATCTGTTCCTTTATTATGTGCATCTTTTACTTTAAATCATTAACTTTTATATTTTTGAGGCTTATATTTAAGCATTGTTAAGTTGGACACAAGTAGCTCTTACTTTAGGACTGGAGCAGTCCTAAATCACGTCCTTTCTGTGGTCTCACTTGAATACCCAATGTGTTCCAATAGGTCTTTCTGCTCCAGCTGGTCAGAACTCCTATTTCCCAGCATCACATGGCCTCTGAAATCTCCATTTTCCTCACAATTCCCCAATACCTGTTTTACGCCAGGACTTACACGGTGGCATACCAATGGAGGAAGTGGTTCGCCTCAGTAGGTATTATGTTTTATCCCTGACGCTGCTTTAGAATTGCTGGCACAGAATTGTTTTGTCTTTTTTAAAGCTCTTTTAAAATCCTCTAAAGACATATATTCCCCCTGATCCCTTGCACCTGAGGTGGACACACACCACCCTTACTTCCTCCTTGGTATGTTATTGCCTTGTACTTCTTGCCCTACGCATATGCAGCACAACATTCAAAGATTGAAAATCGCAAATTTCGAGAGTTCCTATCTCTGCCTAGTTCTCTTCTCTTACATACTCTGATCACAAATCTAGCCAATTTCAGTAGCCCCAAATTCCAATCTCTGTCTTCTCCAGTTCAGTGATATCAATGTGCCCTGTCCAATCTCCACCTATTTGCCCAATGGTCTAGAAAATGCTTCTAGGCAGAAAGCCAGGGCAACCATGGTGTTCACCTCACATGTTATCCTTCTTTCAGAAATCATAGTCCTTTGCTGCTTGATTGTCCAACAGCTGAAAACATGTGCATCAGATATCTTGACTAGTTTTATAATTGTTTACACATGAAAGTAGTCTACTATAGTACCAGTTTCAGTCATAACTAGAAGCAGAAATTCATACTAATGATTTTTAGGAAATATACTGCACTCCTAATTTATCTATAGTTAAAAGAAATTATTTTTCCTAAATTCACTACAAGAAGATTTCCTATAAATTCAATTTAAACTTATAAAATCACCACTGAGTTCAAAACAACACACCCACACACACAAAAAAAGAAACCCAAAACTTTGTGCCATCTTTGCTTCAACTTTCATATAAAAAAAAATAGATGATTTAAAATAGGCTGAGTCCCTTTAAAAAAAAATGCTAGTAGGTTGATCACTATTGATTTGTATGCTTATCTCTTACCTTATAGAGTTTGAGAATTGTTTTAATGCACTCATGTACAAACTTGGTCTGCCTCTGAAGAGTTCCACCATACAGCGCCACTAGTTCCTCATTGAAATTCACACTAAAGAAGTCAAAATGGTATTTGAAGTCAATGTCTTCTGCTTTTCTGAGTGCAATAGAGCCAATAGAGCGCACTGCAAAGGAAAAGGGCAAAGTGCACATTAAACAAAATTTTTAAAAGTTTATCCATTCTTGGGCCAGCTGAGTGGCATGTTGGTTAAGAGCTGGCTTGGGATGCCAGTTCTGAGTATCAGTGCCCCGGTTC